CTTTTAATTTACTGGTTAACTCGTGAGGCTCAAAATGTTTACCAGTTAACTAGCTGAAGACTTTTTTTGACCTTACTAGTTAACTAGTGAGGCTTCACATTTTTACAAATTAAAAGGCGAGGTGCAAAATGTTAAATGTGGGTGATGTTATCAGTGGTAACCAACATGAGCACAGTGAAAAGTGGGGGCATGTAGCTAGCTTGTGGCATACACACAGGGACTCATATGTTTGGCAAGGCCTTTTAGCATTTATTCCATATCTTTAATATCAGACATCTTAGTGCAGCTAGTGGACATTTTTACCTTCTCTAGTTAACTAGTTGAGAAAACTTATGTCTGAAATCAAGGATATGGAATAAATACCAAAAGGGAATGCCATAGTAGTGATAATAGTAATGGCAGTGTAGCGTTAGTAATAGTAGTGGTGGTGGTGGTAGTGGTATGGAAAGCGGTAGTAGTCGCAGTAAGAGTAGAAGTAGAAGTAGTAGCAGTGGTGGTGGTAATATTGGTAGTACTGGAAGCAAATTTCCTATTTGTGTTGCGAATAAAGTTTTTTAAAGCATTGTTTATCTCACTAGTTAATAGGTAAGGTCCTAAATGTTCACTAGTTGGTAATGGTAGTACTTTGGAATATTTGGCTGTTTGTATTGTGAACAAAGTTTTCATGGATATTTTAATGATCCTGTGTTTGGTTATTTAAACAGTCAGTGTGGACTTTTATGTCACAAATGAAACATGCAAAACTATGGTACAGTCATCTTCCCCATGAAATCTCTGATATGGAAAACAAAAGAGGCAGCTCAGTCGTCACTCTCACCACAGGGATTTCACCTTTGTTCTCACAAATACAGTATGGTGTTACATCGCGGTGCCCTATTTTTCTCTGCCACTTTCAGACTTTTTGTAGAGCCGAAAATGCTCTCTGTGGTTTACATAATCTTGAGATGAGTTTCAGCTTTCCTTTACGGGCACTAAATATCTCGTGCCGCTTACATTTCAGTGTCGCCTGTGAGCAAAACAAATCTGTTTTCAAAGACACAGGTTTGTTTTGCTTGCACAGTGTTTAAGTACACAAAAGGAGTAGAGGTGAGAACAGATGTCAAGCCTGAATTGCAACTCACAATAACATGTTGTGTTGTTACTCCTAACTATGTAGTCACCACTGTACTATCAGGAAGAAATAGAGAAATAGAATAGCAGTTTTAAAAAAAACTTGAGTTCTTCTTATTATTATGCCTTTCTTCTTACGCAACTTATAAATGAGTGCAGTACAAGATTTACTTTGTTTGCCACCTTTTGACTTCTCTGTACAGGAAGTGGTGAGGTTATACTCAGAACTTGAAATGTGTTGAAACAGAACAAGACAAAGCCATTAGGGTGGGTGACTATACAATACCATGCCACATTTCTGTTGGCTGTATGGTTTTGCTACAGTTGGAAAAGGGTTGTTTATATGATGTTTATTTATCTATTTGAGATTGACAGCTCATTCTTGAACTTGGAAACCAAGGTTGACATAACAGCATAGCTCACTTACCTTGTTCCAAGGTCAGGACGAAACTTTATTTAAGTGCTCAGAATAAATATATATAAATAATATAATAATCTAACTATGTTTCTTTATATACCTGGAGCAATGGTAGCAGTGGAATGTAATTAAGTACATCTACTCACAGACTGCTTACCGTTTTGAGGTATTTGTATGTTACTTGAGATTTTCCATTTCATGCTTCTTTATAGCCGACTTCTACTCAGAACCTCAGAGGGAATATTGAACTTTTTTCTGGACTTATCTGTCAGCTTAAGTTACTTTGCAGATTCAGATTATTTATACAAAATATAATCAAGTAATAAGTGACAATGTATTATAGTAGAATAAACTACTCAGCGGTATATTAAAAAAATTAAATTAGCTCCACTTTCAACAACAATTTAAGAGATAAACACATTAATGCATCAAAAATTATAATCCAATAATATAATATATAGCCTATTATTCTGAGATGGGCCATTCTGCATAATCAACAGTCGTACTTTAGGTACTTGAAGTATGTTTTGATGCTAATACTTTCGTACTTTTACTTGAGTAAAATTTAGAAGGGTGGACTTTTACTTGTAGTCCAGATGAGCAATTTTACGCTATAGTATTACAACTTTTACTGAGATCTGAGCACTTCTTCCATCTATGAGTGATAGGAGTAGTAGCGGAGGAGGAGTAGTAGCAGCTGTAGTGAACAGAAAGAGTTGTAGTTGAGCATAAAGTAGGCCAGAAGTAGTAGCAGCAGAAGTAGTACTGCAGCAGTAGCCTTGTGGCCGTTGGCAATGGTAGAAATAGTAGTTATAGTAGTAATCGTAGCCTAATAGAAGTGCCAGTAGTGGTAAAAATTGGATTGGCAGTGGTAGTAGCGGTAGTTACTTAGTAATATCAGTAGTAGTATTGGCTGCTGCCAGTGGTAGGTCGTAGTTGGCTGTAGGAGTAGTAGTAGAAGCAAAAGGGTGAAGTCAGGGAAAATGGGACAAATAAGGTTTTACATCTTGGACTCATTAAATATTAGCAGGTAGTCACCTAACATGTTATTGCATTGTAGATACAAATGTGCTTCACATGAAACAATCATTTTTATTGGTCTAAAATAACTAGGATGAGCACACCAAAGAATCAAAAATCTACTGGTCCCAGAACTTCCAACGAAAGCCATGTGACATGTTGATTCTCATTTTGGTACAAGAGTACTGCAGCTAAAAGAATTTCAATCAGGAGAGACAGAAGAATGAGGTAAAGATAATATTTAATACAGAATGTACATGTAGAGATTAACAGAAGATTTAACAGAAGTCTTTGGCATTTGGACACCAGAGGGAGATATTTTGTGATCGAGGGACATCTGAGCGCAGCAGGATAAATCCCCCCCATGGAGTCCAGACACTGGTGGAGGTGGTGGCTGATGACTCTGAGGCTGCCGATTGCTGAGGCTGATGAGGCTGATGAATCTGTAAAGACTAGGTGGTGATGGGGAGATGGAGGGCACACACCTCTGCAGCAAGAAAGAACCATGTCTAAAATGAGGAGCAGTAAGATGATATGCTGATGGAGAAGGTGTGCTGCTGTGCTATTGGATTATAGTGAATCAGCTGATGACTCAAATGGCAGACCCAGACAATGACACCTAGAGATAGTGGGTGAGAATGCGTGAAAGGAGTGAATGGCAGGGTGAGAAAGAAACTCACAGCCTGAGAATGAAAAGTATTGTCTTCCTGACTGAACTTTCACTGGAGCTTCATATGGGTAAAACAACAAAAAAGGTTGTGGGATGTTGCATTTTGACTTATAATCTGAATATTTTCACAATACACATTACTTTTTATGGGAAATGGTTTTGAGTGAGCACTCAATGCATACAGGTAAAATTGGACATTTTCTGAATTAAAACCAGCATGTTTTTGGTTACTAGGTGCAATGAAATCATGACTTATACTACTGTGTGCCACCCTTGCATATTACAGACATCTTTAGTACTTCGTCACTTAAAAAACCTCAAAGTTAATGCATTGAGTCTATGTCAGCCACAATAGTCCAGAATTAGCCATCACTGCTGCACACATGCAAGCACACAAACATGTCCATTGTAAAAAAAAAATATGGCACCAGAGAAACAGCAAAAAAAAAAAAAAAAAAAAAAAAAAAAACAGGGCAGAAAAGTTTTTAATTTTTTAGCTTTTTAATGAACAGCCACAGGCTACATTAACGATTTAATGAATTATTAACAGAGCTGATAAATGGATGTAACCTTTAAAACAAACAAACATTTGCAAACATTCATGTCCTATTACAGCATGTCCTACATGTCACTAAATCGGCTTCTTCTCTGGAGCTTTTGTGCTCCACTGTCTCAAAAGTTCCCTTAAATTGTGGCTATGCCTGGATCCTGTGTTGTGGGTTACACTATTATTACACATATGATTATTATTGTCTCATACATATACTAATATTTATGCTACCAAAATACTATTATTATTATTATTATTATTATTATATTAATACAATCAGTGTTATCGTAGCTATTGTCATTACTGTTTGTCCTGCATCTCTCTCTGTTTCTGTCTCTCTTTATCTATCATACTGTAAATCTATTATGTTGATCTGTTCTGTATGACATCTGATGCATGTCTGTCCGTCCTGGAGGGATTTCCCTCCATCAAAGGTTTTTTTTAAGGGAGTTTTTCCTTATCCGCTGTGAGGGTCCAAGGACAGAGGGATGTCGTATGCTGTAAAGCCCTCTGAGGCAAATTGTGATTTGTGATGTTGGGCTTTAGAAATAAAATTGAATTTAATTCAATTGAATTTAATTCAAATAAACAAACATGACTGTCCCATTTTAATTTAATGGTTGTCCCATTTTACCTGAACATGACATTGAAGTGGGCAGCATGGTGGTGCAGTTGTACAGCAAGGGGGTTACCGGTTTGACTCCAGGGTGGGGGCTCGAACCCTGTGTGGGGGAGCTTGCATGTGCTTTCGCGTGGGTTTTCTCCAGGTACTCCAGCTTCCTCCACAGTCCAAAGACATGCAGGTTAATTGGTGACTCTAAATTGGCCATAGGTGTGAATGTGAGTGTGAATGGTTGTCTGTCTCTATGTGTCAGCCCTTTCTAAAATGTTTTACTTGACAACATATAGAAATATGACAGAGAACCATAAAAAGCTCTAAAGTGAAACTCAAGGTAGTTTTCAGGCTCTTAAATGTTTTTTTTTCTTCACCAAATCTACCACAAAGTGTCCCTAAATACCTGACCTCACCCTAGTGGTGGTGAATATGTGGCAGTAGTAGTTGTAGCAGTTGTATTAATAATAGTAATGGCATTAGACGTAGTGTCAAACGTTTGTAGTAGTAGGAGGAGAAGTTGTAGTTGCTACTACAGTACTACTAAGGTATTTCTGTCGTCTTGTTCCAAAGGAAGTGACGTAACGGCAGTTCCGTCACACTTCCTGGAGACGGTTGCTACGACAGCTCGCTGCTTCCTCTCCTCTTGGTTGTGTTGGTTACTTATCCTGCCCGCAACCAAACATTAACGTTAGTTAGCTAACTAACTATTTCAACCACGGCACTTGATGTTTCCTCGTAGTTTCCGTTCGTAGTAAAAATGGCTTTTGTTTCACACAGTCAGAGAGAGCCAAACGGAAGTTACACTTTCTCAAGCCGACCCAGACCTGTGGAGAACCGCTCCAAGTACAGAGAGCCTCCGTCTGAACAGTACGTTTGCTCAAAGCTAACGCTAATGTTTATGCTAGGTGCTAACGTTACGTAAATAAAGGCAGACAGACCTAGCTGTCATTGTTATGTCGCAATAATTAGATGATAAAATACTAGCTCATATAGACAGTGGTAGAAAGTAATGACAAAGTACATGTACTCAAGTAGCTACTGTACTTAAGTACACTTTTGAGGTACTCATAATACTTACCTGACCAACATGTCAGTGGCAACTATTGTACTTTTTAATCCACTACTTTTTCCCCCCCTGCTATGCCCATTAGTTAGTTACCTACTGATAAAGACTTTTATATACAAAGCATATTATCATTTATAAATTATGATGCATTGCTATAGATCACACTATCCATCAGTATACAGTTAAAGTTACAACATTAAAATGCCATATTATTATTGTTGTTGTTGATATCATTATCATTATTATGGAATCTTACTTGTGACAGGGAATTTTAATAGTGTAGCAGCACTGTTATTTGCTTCAGTAAATATTCCCAGTATTTCCTCCACCACTGTCACCAGGCCCTGAGAAAATGCCTGAGAAGATATCGCTAAAGCCACCCTATTAAATTGTCAAAAACCAGCACAACATGGATCAGCATATCACCTTTGAAGTGCACATATGTCAAGGTCAGCGACTAATGAGCTGACCGCATGACTGCATTGTTTTTCATTGACCATGCAGGACACACAGTAACTATGGAAACATTATGTATGACCGTCGTGTTGTCAGAGGAAACACTTATGCCCAACACATTATACCAACTGTAAGTATGAAACATCCATTTATATATAAATGTATATTTGCCTTTCTTTCTGTAATTTAATCTTAAAAATGTGTTTGTCAGACGGCTCAGCCGGACCCTGTTGAAATACAAAGACAGCAGGAGCTCAGGAGGAGAGCCATTGCTCGAAAACGAGCCAGGGAGCAGTTCAGACCCAGGACTCCTGAGGCCCTGCAGGGCAGGAAACACATTGATGTACAGACAGGTAAGGCTTTCCTCCTGATATCCTCGGAACTTTTACATTCAGCACTATGTTCAGTTCATGATAAGTTTGCCAAATGTGCTGTTGGGTACCAAAGCTGTTCTGTTATACTTTTGACCCTCAGAGCTTTATCTTGAAGAACTGAGTGATGTTATAGTGGCTACAGATATCGAGTGTCAGACTGATGCTTTCCTGGACAAACCAGCAACCCCACTCTTCATACCTGCCAAATCTGGCAAAGATGTTGCAACCCAGATAGAGGAAGGAGAGGTACGTAATCTAAATGTGAGGTCTGGTCACACTTACCACACTAAAGTGTGGAAAGTCCCAGTAAAACTTATTAGGCCTTTTTAGGTATTATATAAAGAGGAAATGCCACCAGTTTTAAACACAAAGGCCAGTTTATAGTAACTTAATGCCTTCTGTTGCTCTGGAGGAGTGTTTTTTAATCTTGACCGAAATTTGGGGCTAAAGGTCAGGATGTGTTGTTGGCCTCTGCTATTACCTGTCTCTTGCAAGTCCTCTAATTTTAAGGAGGTGCAATGATAATTAGGTGGATATCCCTTTTAAAATGTTATCGTCATGTGGGATGTTAATGACAAAGAACTTGTACAATGTTTGCAGGTTTGATTAAATTAAAGGTCCCATATTGTGCTCATTATCAGGTTTCTACATGAAGATATTTACATGATTTTATGTTCCAAAAAACACATTTTCTCACGCTATTTGCCTGAATATACCTGTATTCCCTCTGTCTGAAACACTCTGTCTGTTTAAGCCCCCCTCCCAAAAAAGCCCAGTCTGCTGTGATTGGTCAGTGTTTCCAGGTCTTCCATATCTGGGCTCTCAGTGTTTCTGCACTATCTTTAGATCATTTAACTGGAATTGCATCGCTAGGTTAAAAGCTGGGGTTCATGCTTACTTCCTGTCAGATGATGTCATTCACATACACTGGAAATGTTCCAACAGGAAATTCATTTTGAATATTTATGTTTCAAGTTTGAAACAGTCTTTATAGTATAGTTGTGACATCATAATGTAACATAAGTCCTGGCGGCTCATTTACGCCAAAAACACACCAAGCAGCGAGAAGTGCGACCTGTGGCGAGCTGCCTTGCAATGTCTATGGAATGGTCGAGCTGCGGCCATTTTGTTATGTAGGAAAGTGCAGCCAAACAAAAAGTCGGGGATAGTTTAACTTTTAGTGGTGAAATATGGCCAGATAATACCTGCAGCCAATCAGCACAAAGAGTCCTGTGACTCCTCTGACCTGCCTAAAACACGTGCACATCCCTTCCGCATTTTGCCAATGTTTGATGTGTTTTTGGTGTTAAAGGCACAGTTTCTAAATATGGACTGAGTGCATTTTCCACTGGATTATTCGTTTTGATTCTTCTCTGTATTTATGTAGCACCTATACCTGCTTTATTTTTGAAAAGACACAGATACCTGACTTTTTTTTAACAATATGGGACCTTTAAACGTAATGTTTTTAACGTGCAAAATGTCAGACCACTCACTACTAGTATCCCCTGCAGCTGTTTGACTTCGACAGGGAGGTGCAACCATTGTTGGAGGTCCTGGTGGGTAAGACAATAGAGCAGTCTCTGGAGGAGGTGATGGAGGAAGAGGAGCTTGCCTGCCTGAGGGCCCAGCAGAGGGCCTTCGAAGAGCTCCGAAATAACGAGCTGGCAGAGGTGCGGCGGCTTCAGGAGCAGGAGAGACGCCACAGTGAGGAGAAAGTACGTGAATGATGGAAATTCCCTTTAAGTCACTGTATAGGAACAAGTCTCTTCCAAAGCTGGAAAAAACAGTGACACCAGTAAGACATCAGTCTGGAGCATGCGGCTCATTCCTTAGATTCTTACCACAAGCAATTATTCATATCATACTATTTGTAGAATTAGTTTCCAGTTGTGGCTGTGTAGGATTGTTTCTGTGTGATCCAAACATGTCTAATAACTCCATAGTGTTTTAAATTCCAAATGTCAAAATGTATTTAAAAAAGGTTGATGTAATTATTTACAAAATTTAGAACATGTTGTTATCTAACAAAATATTTTGTATTCGTTGGCATTTAGCTTTTCAAAAAACCTTTTTACTCTCTGACTTGTTGCACACAAACAGAGGCATGCACCTGTATCAACAGGCGGTCTAGCAGCATCTAATGGCACCATAACTGACATTTACTCATTACTGCACTAATTTACTCCGATGAATCACTTTATTCAAATTGAGGATTCTGTTTGAGGATGTTATTTATTTATTTTATAGGGAGATAACGTCATAAAATGTCGACAGATTCATTGGAGGATCTAAATAGAAGCTTCGAATGTTTAAAAAAAAAGATATCTGGTACAGCCCTAGCCAACACTAATAGTTATTTCACGAGAGTATTAATGCTGTGGTGAAGAGGTCATATCAGGTGTACCCATCAGAGTTTAAACGTTTAAGTATCAGAATCCAATAACAGTTGATTGGCTGCTTATGTTGCCAGGGAGACCTTGTTGTCAGACAAATCTGATGACATCATAACCTTATCACCCTGAGGAAGCAGATTAGCTGCGCTTTTGAGTGTTGAACTTTCATTAGTTTATAACTGTGTGCTTTTTTTCCTAACTTCAAATTAAATTTTTTGTTAATTTAGTAAAAAATATTTTATGTTGCAAAAAATACTTGATTTTAAGCCAAGCTTTTTGGTGGTTTGACTCAGTGAAGCAACATCAGTGTGATTCTAATGGCCTTTCTAGGAATGTAATCTATGAAATAATCAGTTTTTTAAATCTTGTCCTTATCTGTGTTGCTACTCGCTCAAGGCTGTGGTATTTTTGTACCGCATTTCCTAGAGACCACTAGTCACTCAAACAGTGTGTCCATACTATGACCTTCTATTTATTTTTTTTCTGAGTGTGTTTTCTATTTGAGTTTCTGTAGGTTCTGGTCTCCTCTTTGTCCGTTCAAAAAAAGACAGCTATAACTACTCAGTCTACTCTTTTCAAGCAAATATCCAATTGCCTCTGTCCTAAAAAGCATCTGCTGCTGTGTGCTACAGGATTTTTTTTTTTTTAAACAAAGAAAGACTAACCACACACCAAATGTTTAGGACGGTCGGATATAGCAAATTTGATAAACATTGTACAGTCTGAAACATTATTTGTGCTTCCTTACAAAAATATTTCTTCTGACCTCAGGCACGTAGAATTGCCCAGCAGAAGGAGGTGCTGCAGAAGGAAAAAGAGACTGCAGAGAAGATCGCTGCCCGGGCCTACACTCAGCAGTACCTGGCTGACCTCATACCTGCAGTCTTTACCTCACTGAGAAGCCACGGCTACTTTTATGACCCCGTGGAGAAAGGTCAGCAATGCTCTCCAGCATCAACTTCCATTTAGCTTTCTACCTTTCTGACACACGAGGGCATCACTGCACTCAAAATCAAATCTGTTGTGTGATCTGTGACTGCTAACAGATGAGCTCATTGATACTCTGTGCACAAAGATTTTGATGTGAGTGTTCAACCTTTGATCATATTTGTAATTTGCAGATATTGAGACTAATTTCCTCCCATGGCTGATGTCAGAGGTGAACAACAGCTTGGAGAAGAGACACACAGCAAGGGCGGTGCTGGACAGTAAGGGAATACATTATCATTTCTTTCCTGTTATTTAGAACAGTGTTTCTCAAATGGGGTACTTTTTATTTTCTGTTAATTAAAAAATATCAGTCATGCAAAATTCCTAAAATAATTATAGTATTATAAGTTCACAGAAAATGTCAATTTAAGTTCAATAAACCACATGTTTTATTCAATCTTCCTACTTTCAAAACAGTAGATACAGAGATACTTTGCTGATTTTCAACCAACTTTTTATCATAACAGTGTGGATTGTATGTGCAAATGAAGGGTGGTAAACTTTCCCTCCATCTTACCCACACTCAGATCTCCATTGGTTGATGTAAAAATCTTTATTCGGAAGATGTTAGCTGGCTCTAGGGTTTTTGCTCAAACCACAGATTCTACTGCCGCATTTTTGTATACCTGCCACCACATACACAAAGAGTTCAGAAGTGGATCGAGAGAGACTTGCCCTCTCTTTCTGTCTCTCAAACTCTGATCAAATGGTAAAATCTGTCAGCGCCTATCAATTATAAACCACAATTATGTTACTGTATCGCCTATATCCCAAAATGTCTACAGAAACGTATTTTAGTGCACCAAACTGTTTCCGGTATTGTAAATATGGAGACTGAAAAAACTGAGCTCAAATGGTAAAACGAGGCAGTGCTGATCAAATATGAACCAAAATTCTGTTACTGCGTTGCCTATTTTTCACCAAAAATGTTTTCAGAAACATAAGATAGAGCACTGTATAACTGTAATTCAAGTTTGTTTGTAACCAGTCGGCCGTCAAATTGTTTCCTGTGACATAGCAGCCGAGCTCACATTATGTTGCCCACCAGTGGGAGCATTTATTGGTCCGGTGTGGCGCAGTGCATTCTGGTAATTGCAGGTTTTCTGCCTCTTGAGCAAAAGTGAATGCCACAGCACAATTTGTCTGTTTTCCCTGGTCATATTGCACCACTTTCTGCTGCATAGACGGCCCAGTTTTATGAGAAGACCATCTTTCCAGCAGTAAAATACTTCTTTAACTGCCATAATCTATCAACTGCAGCAACAAACGCAATCGAGTTTGCATTATGTTGGTTTACTGTGACTGGGAAACCATTCATCCATCCATCCATTTTCAACTGCTTATACGGGGCCAGGTCGTGGGGGCAGCAGGCTGAGAAAAGTACCCCAGTCATCCCCCAGCTCCCCCTGGGGGATCCTGAGCTGTTCCCAGGCCAGATGAGATATGTCATCCTTCCAGCATGTCCTTGGTCTACCCTGGGACCTCCTACCAGTTAGATGTGCCCAGAACACCTCCAACGGGAGGCGCCCTGGACGCACCCTGATCAGATGCCCGAACCACATCAACTGACCCCTTTTGACATGAAGGAGCAGCGGCTCTACTCCGAGTTCCCTCCGGATGTCCGAGCTCCTTACCCTGTCTCCAGGGAAGCTCACTTCAGCTGCTTGTATCTACGATCTCATTCTTTCGGTCACTCCCCAGAGCTCATGACCATAGGTGAGGGTTGGGACGTAGATGGACCATCTAATGAAAGCTTTGCCTTTTGGCTCAGTACACTCTTCATGCGATGGTCTGGCGTAGCGCCCACATCACTGCAGACGTCACACCAAACTGCCTATACATCTCACGCTCCATTTTACCCTCACTCATGATGAGACCTAGAGATACATGAACTCCCTTGCTAGGGAAACCTATATTGATATTGATTGTTGTGTGTTGGTCAGGGGGTACTTGGCAGAAATTCATATTTCAAAGGAGGTACATCTGTGAAATCAATTTGAGAATCACTGGTTTAGAAAACATCCCTCTGTTGAGCTGAGCAATATGCTCTTACTTGCAAACCTGCTTTCTCTAATGCTTCATGTTTGTTCAGCATTTTTTTTCTCTAGGTTTGATTTTCTTGCAAAGTAGGTCACAAATCCTACGCAGCACCCGCAGCAATCAGTCCGCATCAGTGTGTTTTTTTTTTTATCACTCCAGTGTACTCTACTCACACAAAATTGTACACAAACTGCGTAGGCTGCGATTTGTCACAACATAACACACATTATTTGATTGAAAGGAAGCAGGAAGAAGGAAAATTATACCTGCCCACCATAATAGTGAGCTCCAAATATGGGTCACCACAAATTCTTATGAAGTAGGTAATAGGTAACAAGCTGTCTGTGACACAAAATGTACGACTTCTGCTATCTACTTCTAACTTCTTGAGCTTTTCTGCTTTAAAGAAAAAAACACATTACAGGTATAATCATAACCTTCTCTTAAGTTGTTGGAGATCATCAACATGTTCTACAGACTGATGTTATTAACCTGCGACAGCTGAAGGTATTTCTCAAGTGCTCCTCCAGGGGTCATCAGGTCATAGACATTGTTGTGGTGCCATCTAGTGACTCTTTTTAAACATTACAGATGTAATTAATGTCAAACATACTGCACACAGAAACATTTTCATTCCGTCTCTCTGTCTCTGTTTCAGCGATCATCCATGATGTCGCCCAGAAGAGAGTGGAGAGGTTCAAAGAGAAGGACACACAGTGATAATGATTCACAGGCAAAGGTCAAGGACACAAGTGCATTTTTAAAAATATGAAATAATAAATGTTTTATCACTGACTAAACCATCATGAGTTGTGTCTCTGTGAACATAAAACTAGTTTATGTGTTTTAAAGAACATATTACTAGTGTAATAAGGTTTATTTTATCATCATAAGTCATTAGTTTCAATCTTAAAAATCAGTATCATTATATTTCTAATTATACAACAGTGGTAAAAAAAAAGATTTCCGCACACTTGCATCTATGCAGTGTTCCACTTAATTTTGTAATTATACAACGGTAAAATTTTGAAATTGTGGAAAATGCAAATACAGTTTTGTATTGTCCTTTTTTGCACACATTTGCAGTCATTTTATATCAAGGATTTCCATTTGTACAGTATGAAGAGACTGAGTAACTTTTCCTTTTGTTGAAGTTTTTCTATTTTTATTTTTTATTTTTAATTTAATTATATTTATTTGTATTTAATTACTCATTTAATTTAATCATAATGATTTATTTAATTTAATTTAATTTTAAGTATTTATTTTGATTATTTTTTAATTTTTTAAATTATTTTTAATTATACAACAATAACATTTTAAATTCGTGGAAAATGCAAATGCAGTTTTGTATTATATATTTTTTTTGCACACAATCATTCTTCTATCAAGGATTTCCGTTTGTACGGTATGAAGAGATTGTGTAACGTTTCCTTTTGTTAAAGTTTTTCTATTTTTAATTATTTATTTTTAATTTAATAATATTTATTTGTATTTAATTATTCATTTAATTTAATCATAAAGATTTATTTAATTTGAATTATTTATTTTTAATTATACAACACTAACACAAATCGTGGAAAATGCAAATGCAGTTTTGTGTTATCCTTTTTTTTTTTGCACAATCATTCTTCTATCGACGATTTCAATCCTTATATCATCAGGTGACCTATTCTACACATTAAACCACTATACAAACAAACAAACAAACAAACAAAAATGTCTCTATGACACAGCCAAGACAAAAGAAGCCAAAGCCCTCTGCTCCATCTGACATGTTAAGTCCCTTTATAAAAGACAAAAACTGATTCCAGACAAGCAAATATGATTCTCTATGGTTATACAGATTGGCTATCATGAACTCAAATGATGCATTCTCTGTCATTAACCGAACCCACTCTCTATATTCACGTCTACGTTGACTTTCCCAGGAGTGAAGGACGACCCGAGCAGCTTAGATAAAGCCTGTCGGGGCTACAGCAGTAGACATGACCTGTCCCCCAGAGGGCAAAGTTGAACTGATTCAAGAACAGGCACACTTAGCCACTCATGTGTTGTCAGAAAGGTGCCTGCCTGCTTTTTACATTTCCAGCATAGATTATTTTCTAGTAACCCCATAAAATAAGATTGAGTATCTTATAATGATTACATTGTCCCCGAGACTGTGTAACTTTTCTGTGAAAGTTGACCTTGATATTTTTTTCAGTGTAAGATATACAGTATATATATATCTTTAGGATATATCTAGAGCACTCTGAGTAACCTTGGCTTTAGTATGTTATCGTTTTGTTATCTGAAGGTTGTTGTATCACAGTTTTGCTACAGTCAATGCACAACGCAGATATTTCATTGAGCTTGACGGTTCATTCTTGACCTTGGAAAGCTGTTTCAAAAATATGTTTTTCTGAAGGTTGTTCTCAGTAATGGGTAAACATTCCATTGCTACTGTAGTCAAAAATCTCGTATAACCCACAATGGTCATGTTAGAGGCCCTTAATGTGAGGTGTGACAAGGCAGAGCCATTCTTACAATAAACAGTTACTTTTTATTTTCTTCCACTAAATATCTAGTTCTTACAGCAGTTTCTATCATTGAAAAAAACAATAAAACTGGCACGAAAAGACTTGGTTGGTAATGCATGCAGGGATTTGTTGTAAATCTGCCTTCTACATTTAGCTGCCAATGGAAGATCTGGAGTTCCTAAACACTTAATGTTGCTGTTTCATAATGTTTCCTGCTGCAGCTGTGAAAAAAAGTTTGTCATTGACCTCATTTTTGTGATAACCAGTCAAAGCAACTCTTTTTTCCCAGGCATGCCGCACATTAATCCATTTTGCCATCTATTAGGAGGAAGTTCCTGCCTGTTGATGGGCTTTAAACTCACCAAAAAAGAAAACCAGACTAAAACAAAGCAAATCAAACAAATAAAAAACAGTTTAATTTAAAATAATGTATCACAGATATTTAGATGGCCATTCAAATTGCCTTACTGTGGGTTTGATCCATTTGCATCTGGCATTGCTCTGCAAACAGTTCATTCAGATGTCCTAACAGGCAAATTCAACAATGTTTTGCATCAGTCAGACAGACTCTGCTCTGCTAAAATTAGCTCACCATCCACCCCACCCCCACTCCAAACAACTAGAGTTATTTGAGATGATCGCTGTTACGTTATTTTTTAAATTTACTTTTAAATCATAGCAGGGGGTTATCTTTTAATGTGTCGCTTTATTTTTTTATTTTTGTTTTTTTACACTGCATTAAATTTTCAAGAAACATAACGTAAAAAAAAGAGAAAATTAAAAAAAAGAAAATTAGTAAAAATAAATAAATACATTTTAAAAAAGCTCTGGATTTAAAAAAAAAAAATCTGTAACAAATTTCAAATATATAGTAATGATAATTATAAATGTAGTTTTGCCCTAGCAATTTTAAAAATAATTTTCTAAATCTTTCAGTTTTTTGCAATTTGTGGAAAATTTCTCACCAAGTTGATCAATTCCTTATTTCTCCATGTTTTTTAAAAGACATTGCACTAATTTGCTCAGAGCTCAAAGGTTTAAATACTTGTGAAAGGCGCCTGAAAGCACCACAAGAAAAGCTCTGTCACTCCGGGTTTCAAAGGGTTAAACATAATTATATCAGTATACAAACATAAGACAAATAAAAAATAAAGTTAAATATATATATAGACAGATAAAAATAAATAAACATGAATAAATTAATAAAAAAGATTTATTAAAAATATTTATAGGTGTATATGTCAATTACACTTTTAACACAGGACTGTTTGTTTTATATGTACTTTGAATAGGCCCTGAAACTATTACACATAGGGAAGGGCTCGTGATGATGATGATGATGATGATGATGATGATGATGGCAGCATTGTTGACAAAGGCCGGTTAAGTAGCACAAAGTGGTTTGTTGGGTGTCTCACATCACTCTGCTTTCGCATTATGGTGAGAAGTAGGTCTAACCTCCGATATATACGGCTCTATTTTAATCCCGTCACCTCATTGGTCAGCTCACCTATGACGCCACCCCTCTCACTCACTCGGCAGCACTTCCGTGGTTCAGTGCAGGGCGGGTGATGCGCACTTCCACTGAACCACTGTGGAACAAAAAAAGTTTGTGCTGTGATGCATCAGCGCTCAGACAGGTGACACCTCAGGCTTTACACAGCTGATACATGAGGCTTACGTTTATTTACACAGAGTCATAGGTTGTAGTAACAGTCAGTCAAATACTTTTGTCCTCATTAATTTAGTTATGTCAGCTAAACTGACGCACACAGATAAAAGCCATGTAGATAGATACATAGATGGATGGATAGATAAATAGCAAAATCTTTAAATGAAAGTTGTTATTCATACACGTTATGTCATAGCCTGTGAAAGTCAGAAAATACATTTAAAAAATAAACGTGATTAAAACAATAAAATCTTTATATGAACTACAAAATAAAGAAAACAGGAGTAAAACAACAAAAGTCTATATTAAGTTTTGAGCTTGGGTGAATATCACTGACATTATAGAAGGTGCAGTTTAGCACTTTAAAAGTAGGCCACACAGGGACTTACTAGTTGGCATGTACGCTGTTTATTTTGATCTTCGAAATGAGGAAATGATAATGTGGAAAACACCAGTTATATCACGAGGCTATTAATAGAGTGCTCCACGGATGGCATTTTTCTGTAGGCTGATGGAGAAGTTAGCGTCTCCCTGGTTCCCTCGTCAAAAAGCCTATGGGATTTTGGATTATTGCAGGAAATAAGCTCTGTGGCAGACAAATGTTTATGATGCTTACAAATTTTGCTCAGCAAGATAATCTCTACAAGATAACACCATTTTTGAAGCCTAAATTCAATCGGAAAGGGGCAGAAAGCAAACGTTAGGCTATAAACGAACTACAACATGATCACATGACTCAGCGTCACCTCCATAACAAGACTGACTTTCATGTCTAGAAAAAGGCAGTAGCAAACAAGTGGCTACATGACACTAAATCTGGCGCTTGGGCAGTGACCTGCAGCGTCAGAAACCAACGAAAAAAGGCGTCCTTTAATGTTGGCATGATACGTGGCTGGTTGCCGTTATAGTTTGACAGCGCCTGACGGCATCTGGGGGTAGCATGGCAGGACAAGGTAGAAGTTAAGGTGGTGAAAGTCGGACTGGGGCGGGCAGGAGGGGCCGTGGATGGGTCCAGCAAACACCGACTTTCATCCGAGAGAGTGGCGTTCGCGTCCCGTCCTGATGTACACTTTAAACTGATACAGAAAAGGTCCAAATTGGTGCATAAAATTGGCCAGATTTGAGGAAATAAAGTTTGACTCTCGAAATATTTTGAAGGAGTACTGCCATACCCCCCACTGAATATGTTTCCCCTCATTGTTCAAACAAATCCTTCACCCTTGATTGGGTGCAGGATGTGATTTTGCCATGTAGGACATGTTGCTGGATCAACATCCTACTTCGCGTTCCTGGACCAACATTGCAATCAACCAATCACTTTACAAACTGAAACTTCTTCTGAGCTAAGCTAGTTTTCAGAATTGAAGGAAGTAAAATTTGATAAAATCCTCATAAACACTAGACAAAATCCTTATAAGCTACTTCACGGTTAGCAAGTTAGCTTGCTAACTAGATAGGCTATTCTAACAAGTAAACTTGCTAATAGGCTAGAATATTGTTAACTAATATTAAAAGTAAGGACAATATCATTTTGCAGTTGCAATGGACACATTTTCTCTCCTTTTCTCAAAGCCTATTCAAAACATTTTTTTTTTTTTTTTG